ATAAGTCTCCTAGTTTTTTATTATTTTTCCGCCGTGTGATTTTTTGTTTCAAGATTTATCGAAAAGATTTATAGTGTATAAGAATGTACTCCGTAAAAGATGTTTGCAGTTGACCCTGCGTAAATGAACCTTGACCGCTTTAGAAGTTATTGCCCCTTTCACAAGAAATGCTTGTTATCGCTACTCCTCAGAAACCGTAAACTGCAGAGGTATGAAACCTTTACTAATGTCTTCGACTAATTATGGGGACTCTTCAATCTATTCATTGCAAAAGTATTCGGTGACCCCTGCAATGAGTTACTGCCCCTGAAACTTTTTGAATTTTACAAATAATTAAAAAATTTCAAAACAAGAAGTCATAGAGACATGGGACCAACTGCATAAGATTCACTGACCTTTGACCTTAAAAATCATGTATAGGTCAAAGGTCAAGGTCATTCCAAAAATGAGAAAATTAGCTTTTTTTGTATCTCTTTTGTCTTTCAACATATACTTAAGGTCAATGCATCATTAATATGTACTCTTAAAACTGTTTCAAAGATTTCATTCTTGTCCCCTAAGATAAAACCTTTTAAAAGTTATTACCCCTTGTGCGAAAAATCTTGTTATCGCTACTCCTCCGAAACTGTAGACCCTAGCTACACCAAACCTTCACTAATATCTTAAGGGTCTTTAGACCTAACTTCACTGTATAAGTGCAAATAATCTGATGACCCCTTATATGAGTTATTCCCCTTTAACTTCGTTATACTTAGTTACTATTAAACCTTGTATCTTGAAAACTATAAATGGTAGAAGCATGGGGTCAATTGCATTGTAACCCTTGACCTTTGACCTTGAATATTTTGTCAAGATCAAAGGTCAAGGTCATTCCAAAAATTAGAAATTAAGCTCTTTTTATATCTCTTTTGTCTTTTAACATATGCAAACAGTCTCTGCATTATTAATATTTACTCTTAAAACTATTTCAAAGATTTCATTTTTGTTCCACAAGATTGACCCTATCAAAAATTATTGCCCCTTATGCGAAAAACATTGTTTTCGCTACAACTTCAAAACTGTAGACCGTAGAGGCATGAACTCTTCACTAATGTCTTAAGAGTCTTTTTAAAATTTTAAAAATTTTAATTTTTTTCTACATCTATTTATCTTTAAAGCCATTTTTTGTTTTTTTTTAAATTGTATTTAAGGAGTTAGATATAAAACAGAAACAAATTCAGAGAAGGTGGAAAGACCTCTTATTGTTCTGTGAACAATAAGTCTCCTAGTTAGGTCTTTCCAGCTTTCTCTGGAAAGACCTATTGATTTTCTTCTGTTTTTTTTTTTCTTTTTAATTATTTTTCCGCCGTGTGATTTTGAGTTTCAAGATTTATCGAAAAGATTTTTAGTCGACAAGAATGTACTCCGTAAAAGATTTTAGCAGTTGACCCTGCGTATATGAGCTTTGACCCCTTTCGGAGTTACGACCCCTTTCGCAATAAAAGCTTGTTATCGCTACTCCTCCAAAACCATAAACCGCAGAGATTCCAAACCTTTATTAATGTTTACGACTGATTTAGTAGACTCTCCAATCAAACATTGCGAAAGGATTCGTAAACTCCTATATTGAATTATTGCCCCTGAATGTTTGCAACGTTTACGAATATCAAGATCTTTTCTTAAACGACAAGGCGTAGAGACATGGGACCAACTGCAAAAGATTTCTTGACCTTTGACCTTAAAATCTAGGTCAAGGTCAAAGGTCAAGGTCATTCAAAATATGTAAAATTAAGCATTTTTTATAGCTCTTTTGTTCTTAACCAAATTCTAAACATCTTTGTATTTTTAGTATGTACTCTTAAACCCATTTCAGAGATTCCATGCTTGTCCCCTAAGACTGAACCCTCTAAAAGTTAGTGCCCCTTTCAGTGTAAACCCTTGTTATCGCTACTTCTCCGAAACCATAAGCTGTAGAGATATGAAACCTTCACTAAAGTCTTTGACTAATTGACTCTTCATCTATTCATTGCGAAAGTATTTGGTGACCCCTTCGATGAGTTATTGCCCCTTAAACTTTTTGAATTTTACAAATAATTAAAAAATTTTAAAACGACAAGTCGTAGAGACATGGGACAAACTGCATAAGATTCATTGACCTTTGACCTTAAAATTTATGTAAAGGTCAAAGGTCAAGGTCATTCCAAAAATGAGAAATAAAGTTATTTTAATCTCTTTCAACTTATGTTATCTGTCATTGCATCATTAAAATGCACTCTTAAAACTATTTCAAAGATTTCATTCTTGTCTCCTAATATTAACCCTTTTAAAAGTTATATCCCCTTGTGTGAAGAACCTTGTTATCGCTACTCCTCTGAAACTGTAGACCCTAGAGACACCAAACCTTCACTAATGTCTAAAGGGACTTTAGTCCTAACTTCACTGTATAAGTGCAAAAGGATCTGATGACCCTTATGTGAGTTATTGCCTTTATTTAACTTCTTTGTACTTACTATTAAACATTATATCTTGAAAACTATAAATGGTAGAAGCATGGGGTCAATTGCATTATGACCCTTGACCTTTTACCTTGAATATTTTGTCAAGGTCAAAGGTCAAGGTCATTCCAAAAATAAGAAATTAAGCTCTTTTTATATCACTTTTGTCTTTTAACATATGCAAATAGTCTCTGCATCATTAATATGTATTCTTAAAACTATTTCAAAGATTTCAATTTTGTTCCCCAAGATTGACCCTATCAAAAGTTATTGCCCCTTATGCGAAAAACATTGTTATCGCTACAACTTCAAAACTGTAGACCGTAGAGGCATGAACTCTTCACTAATGTCTTAAGGGTTTTTAGGCACACCTTCATTGTATAAGTACTAAAGGATTTAATGACCCTTTACATGAGTTATTGCCCTTTAACTTCTTTGCACTTAATATTTAAACTTATAACTAAAGAACTAAAAATCGTAGAGGCATGGGGTCAATTTCAATGTGACCCTTGACCTTTGGCCTTGAAGATCTGATCAAGGTCAAAGGTCAAGGTCATTCCAAAAAAAATTTTTCATTTTCTTTTTTTAAGCCATTTCCCTTATTATAAATTGGAGAGTTAAATATAAAACTATAAGACATTCAAAAAGGTGGAAAGACCTCTTATTGTTCTGTGAACAATAAGTCTCCTAGTTATTTTTTATTATTTTTCCGCCGTGTGATTTTGAGTTTCAAGATTTATCGAAAAGATTTTAAATTCATAAGAATGTACTCCATAAAAGATTTTAGCACTTGACCCTGCGTATATGAACTATGACCCCTTTCGGAGTTATTACCCCTTTCGCAAAAAAGCTTGTTATCGCTACTCCTCCGAAACCGTAAACCGTAGAGAAATGAAACCTTCACTAATGTCTTTGACTAATTTAGTAGACACTTCATTGATTCATTGTGAAAGTATTCATTGACCCCTCCAATAAGTTATTGCCCCTGGAAGTTTTAGAATTTTACAAATAATTAAAAATTTTCAAAACGACAAGTCGTAGAGACATGGGACCAACTGCATTAGATTCAGTGACCTTTGACCTTCAAATTTATGCAAAGGTCAAAGGTCAAGGTCATTCCAAAACTGAGAAATTTAGCTCTTTTTATATCTCTTTTGTCTTTAAATATATACTTAATGTCTATGCATCATTAATATGTACTCTTCAAACTGTTTTAAAGATTTCATTCTTGTCCCCTTAGATTAACTTCTATAAAAGTTATTGCCCCTTATGCGAAAAACCTTGTTATCGCTACTTCTCCGAAACTGTAGACCGTAGATATACCAAACCTTCACTAATGTCTTAAGGGTCTTTAGTCCTGACTTTACTGTTTAAGTACAAAAGGATCTGATGACCCCTTATTTGAGGTATTGCCCTTTAATTTCTTTGTACTTACTATTAAACCTTATAACTCGAAAACTAAAAGTGGTAGAAGCATGGAGTCAATTGCATTGTAACCCTTGACCTTTGACCTTGAATATTTTTCAAGGTCAAAGGTCAAGGTCATTCATTTTTTTTTTTTTAATTTTCATATTTCTATGCTTTAAGAGAGTTTTGGTTTCTTTTTCAAGGAATTTAATTTTTAGGAGTCAGAAATAAAACAAAGTTCAAAGAAGGTGGAAAGACCTCTTATTGTTCTGTGAACAATAAGTCTCCTAGTTAATTTTGATATTCAACCTATAAATTGGTTGAAGAGCATTGCAGAACCTCCACCCCATTAGACAAAAGCTAGATTACACCAGGGGAGCAATATACTCTGGACTACGAATTTAAATAAAGATATACAGTGCATTTTGATACTGACCTCTGACCTAGAAAATTAGTCCAAGGTCACATGGAGTGATGGGTAGACACTGTCTGAGGGCATCCACAGAACAGGACCTAAAAATAATGCAATATATATGTATTACAGTATATATACACATGTACTTGTATGTTAATGATTTATCATATGCTGCATTGGACACATATGATTTTATCATGGTTTAAGTATCCATGTATCTTATGAGTAATTTTATACCGGTATTGCATGTATGCTCAGTTTTTTTAAGAAATAAATAACAAGTTTATAAACTTCAATTGGAGAGATACCACAAATTTATAAACAAACAAGTAATTTAATTTTTTTTTTTACATATATTGACCAACATTATTTACATCCATTCATCATGTTCATGAATTGGCTGATCAGACTTCAGTCAGTTTTAGATCTATATGATATACCATAAAGGACTTTCACATTTACAAAAGTTATTCCCCTTCGCAGGGTCGATCTGGGGTCAAACGGCTTAAGACACTGTTTTCCCTCTTTAACCGTATCAACGCTGAGGGACAATATCTTAGAAATAAAATCTATATGAACATATTCATTATGATTTTCATGTTGTCCCCATACTCTGGCAATACAGATACAGATCGTAATTGTCCAATATTTTTGAAGATTAAAAATATATTAACAAGTAACTTACAAAGGACAAAGTGGGAAAAATGAGCAATACGCCAACAATTGGAGAAAACTCTTAGGAATGTGAAATTTGTCTATTGGTGATGACAATTCCTGTTTTAATGTCACTGAAAAATTAAGAGACATTAAAAATTTAAGCCCTGATTTTCATACACGCATGCTGTTTTTTCATCCATATAACCTTTTAGTATCATAAAATTTACCAAAATTTAATACTTCAAATAATTTCATTGAATATCTATAAAATAAAGGAAACTCTAAAAACTTAGTGACTTGCAGAAATTATTCCTTGGAGAGAAAAAAATCTATCATATTTCATATAAATATATGCATAATGAGCCTTTTTTATGCATTTAGAACATATGGTATGTGCCTCATTTCCCCCAAGAAATTTTCAAAGACAATGGACTATCTGTAAGCAGAAATCATTGCTGTTTACTTACATTGGACAAATTTATGAAAACAAGAGGCCCAGGGGCCACAGTGCACACCTGAGCACATCGGGCTTGAATTTACTCCCCCCCCTTCCAGGCGTTCATCATTTGAACAAACTAAAATCTACACTACCTGAGGATGATTCCATATAAATATCACTAATCATAGCTCAGGGTTCGAAATTAACTCATGTCCGTAAGTCCGAGACTAGAAAAAATTGTTTCGGACTAGTGCAAATCCGGATGTAAGTCTTGAATTGGTTTACATTTTATAAATTTTATTTTCGAGTCTCTCAGATGTTTGAAAATAAACGAGAAATGAAACCACGATAAAGCGTTTTTCTACATTGTGATCAATAGACAAAGACGTAACCATGAGGAGATTTCAGAAAGTTGAAAACCCTCTTTCTTTCCCGACATGCTTCCAACTGATTGTGGACACATATTTCATTGAATTAATTGATAAAATTTTAAGATTTGTATTATTCTTTTTACATACTATAGGGCGGACTAGTGGAATAGTTTGCGGACTAGTGGAAGCTAGAAGTCACTAGTCCGTGCGGACTAGTGCTAAAAAAAGTTAATTTCGAACCCTGTAGCTTTGAAGTACTTGAAAAGAAGATTTTAAAAGGTTTATCTATATATCCCTCTGTAAAACTTGGGTCGGCCATTTTGGCCCCACCCTTGCCCCAAGGGTCATGATTTGAACAAACTTATATCTACACTACCTGAGGATGATTCCACATGAGTTTCATCTTTTCTGGCTCAGTGGTTCTGGAGAAGAAGATTTTAAAAGATTTTTCTTATATATGCCTATGTATTCAGTAAAACTTGGAAAAGGGCGTGGTCCTTCATTTGAACAAACTTGAATCCCCTTCACCCAAGGATACTTTGTGCCAAGTTTGGTTGAAATTGGCCCAGTGGTTTTTGAGAAGAAGATGAAAATGTGAAAACAAATGGAAAAGTTTACGACGACAACAACGACAGGCAACGGACAAATTTTGATCAGAAAAGCTCACTTGAGCCTTCGGCTCAGGTGAGCTAATAACTAATTTCCTATTTTTTTAAATTTAAATAATGCTAAAAATAATTTAATCTATCAAAAATAATCTAACTGAATGTAAAATAACATTTTTCATAATCTTAATCTAAGGGCAGATCACTCTAACTTCATTAAACTACCTGATATTAAAGTAGAACTCTTTAGTTTTTAGAGCTTCCTTTCAGTAATCAAAATACTGACCAGCAAGAAATCAGTTAATAAGCATTTCCTTTTTTCATTCATTTTTTTTTTCGAAAGATCTCAGAGTTTTTTCTTTTCAATTCAGGTTCAAGATGACAAAGTTTTATTGAAGTGTATGTATTAGAGAACTGATTGTATGTCAATCATAGCAATACACACATAACATGGAGGGGGCAAATTGTTTCAGCCCTAGTAGCAGTAAGCTTTTACATAAAACTTCTTGTAGCTCACAGCTGATATACCACAGTTCAGTATTTAGATAAAATTTAGAATCTTTTTTTCAGGCAATTGTCATATACATACTAATCATGAATGAATTACCACTTACCAAATGACCACATCCTGAATCATCATACATTTTCTATGATTTTATCTCACTGGTTTCTTTTAACGTCACACAGTTTTCTTCTCTCTGAAATGATAAATTATGTCCAGGTACTATTGCATTCTAATTTAAACTAATTATGTAATAGCATTAGCAACAACCAGGATGGAAGAAAAATAACCAGAGGTCTCTGTCGAGACTGTAGCTTTACTGGTTTGTACTTATCAAAGACTGATGCACAGAATTATGTGTAGTCTACTTGTTTGTCAAGTTATATTGAAATCAGACTAAAATTTAAGGAGGAGTAGTGTTTGCAGACAGACAGACAGCTAGACAGACGGACGGACGCCGGACGCATTACTATCGCATAAACTCTTCTGGTCTCTGACCAGTAGAGCTAAAAACAAGTCAATACTATCAATATTAATTCACTATTAGGCTTTTCTTTTTTTACATCTTCACAGAGCTCCAGATAAGGTGCGTATTTGCAGAAATACGCACTAAATTTTACAAAAGACGCATTGAAAATTAAAATAGAGCATACAGTTACGCATTAGCAATCATGGATACGCATTACACCACAAAAGTAATGCGTACAACAAGTTGAAGAATAGTACAGGTTCGACTTATTTAATGTTACGAATTGAGGTTAACTCAGTGTTTGATTTTTCTCAAAACGAAGAACAGATTTAAGAGCCTTTTAGTGACCAGGAATATTCTAGTAAAGACGACAACGATCGCCATTTCGGGAGGAAGAATCGGAGATTTAGATTAAAATCAATTTCTTTGTAGAAAGACTATGCACTAGGCATAACATTTTTTTTTTTATTATGGGTTCATAGCGAATTTTTCATATCTCTCAACTTGCCATATTAACGAAGATTCTTTCAGTTTACTCTTGATACGATATCTTAAATGAAGGAAAAGTTATCCGTGTCTCTGACTCTATGGTACAGTGTACCTTGAACTGCTGTATAATCTTCCTTGTCTAAAAATATGCTTCCCAATCTTAGCAAAAAATCTTGTTGGTATTTACAAAATTTATTTAAATAAATGCAGGAACTGACCTTTGAAGTTTTTTCCCCTCTTCAAAAACTCATACTTCGATTACAAGCTCAAAATATAGCCAAAACATTTCTATATAAACAAAATACTCATTAATCATTTTGCTGAAATCAAAATCTGCATTGATTTGAAAATCAAGGAGCAGGGACCAACCTAGACCCAAAAATTAGGGAGGCTTCACTTCTCCCTCAGAGAAATTTAGGGAGAAGTTTTGAAATTTAGGGAGACTTCTTGGCGCGCGTGACGCCCACTGATCTTTATAAAACTTTTTAAAAATGAAACTATTTCATTGTTTATAACTTGAAATACTTTTCAATAATTTTTTTCTGTATTGAAATCCTAGTAAAAATAATTTAAGAAGGAGAAAAAGAATCTGAATTTTTTTCCAATTACAAGGTATATCTAGCAAAAAAAAAAAAAGAACAACAACAAACAAAACAAATCAAAAAAAATTAATAATGACAATGTAAAAGTTTTTTTTTCATTTTTTGCATAGGCTAATAATTAATATGCACAATTAAATTTTAAATTCTATCATTTCATTTTAAATTTGAAGCCTCATTGCATAGTCATAATTTTGTTATTATCTCTTTAAAATTTGTTTTCAATCTTAATTTTTTTTTCTGAAAAAGTTTTGATGTACTACGTACTGCATGCTGATTGAACTCTGTATATCAGACGTGTAATTTCTTAGACAGTCAATAACTCCACAATTTAACAGTAAAAATATGTCTGTATTCACAGCATGAATTAATTATTTGGCAATAAAAAGATCTAAAATCATCTTCAACATCTTTGGCATGACATCGATATAGCTGACCAGCTGTTTTGCGTCTGGTTGTGCATAACTTGTAACGATGGACTTTATCATACCCGGAAGTGTAAAATCTAGAGGAGTTCCGTCAGAGTATTCGATGCATTGGACATTAGTAGCGAAACAGGTGCAAGTGTCCTGCTGTTTCGTTTATTTCAGCAGCAATAAAACAGGATTTATAAACTACTGACGATTCTACCATGTTTCTTAATAGATTTGCTTCATGATTTTCAATAATGGGGTTGCAAATGTTAGGGCGACTTTAACTTCGCTTTCATGATAAATTACGGCGAAGTTTGGAGCCCAAAAGCGACTATTTCGCCTCAGTCGCCCCCTCGGTTGGTCCCTGAAGGAGTAAATAAACTTTGGGGTAAAAAATTATCTGGAGCTCTGTCTTCATCTCAACAGGTTAGACATTACAAAAAAAAAATCTTTTGAGCAGTAAGGCCAGGTAAATAGCAACACCCGACTTTAAATACAGGTGGGAGATAACTCTTAAACTTTGACCCAAATTCTTACTGTATAACAATACATGAAAATACCCAAAAATAAAAATAAAAAACATCGGGCGGGACATTTTGAGAGGGGCAGGCGGGGATGAGAATCTAAAGACTAATTTTATAAAGCCTAATCTATATCAATAAACAATAAAACAAACCTAATCTCTTCAGAAAAGTGGACAGGCTTTCACCTACATTCACTTTTTTATGTATATTTTTCCTCCATATCATTAGTCTCGTTCAACCAGACCCTCGGCTGTCTCCGTAAATCTCCGACCAACCAGAGGGTCTGGTAAAGATACGCAATATCGTTTGTAACGCCAAAATGAGGCTTACTGAAATTCTGGTAAAGTTTTTGATTGGCTGAAAAGAACACACCTACACAATTTAAATAAATACATGATAAGTCGGCAGAAAAATAACTTAAAGATGTAAAAGTTATATGTCTGAAAGTTAAAACTGTTAGATAGGAATTGTTTACAGTAATGCCCACCAGTTATAGGTAAGTGTATAAGTGTGTATCTTGCAAATATTCGGTACAAAAGCAAAAGTGAAAGTAGTGTAGCCCTACCTGCGTAATACACATTCCTTCGATTGATATAGCAATTTCTCGTATGGTGTCCCAAATTAAAGATTAGTTAATTTATATAAAGACACAATCCAGAAGAAGAAACACATATAACGTTTGTTTTCAAAAAGGATCGTCAAAATGAAAACAAGATAGCGCCCTCTGACGGTTACAAACGCTAACATGATTCTTTACCAGACCCTCTGGGTGGTCGGAGATTTACAGAGACAGCCGAGGGTCTGGTTGAACGAGACTAGCATATCGTCAACATGCATATGATTAAGGTTTATGCTATTTGCTACAATCTATTTCTACTGTTCTGATGAGGATATCCATCATGAATAATTGGATAAGCTGAGATTGAAGACACTTTTTGTAAAAATATTGATGCTTTTATCAAAGTTTTGAGCCAAAAATATTTAATTTATACCTTGCCATAAGTCGTAAGTTCCAAAAAACAAGAGTTGGCTATCCGAAAAGTCAGAAAACACATGTATTCAAACCGGATGTTCTACAGTCTGAACTTAAATACGAAACCATGCTCGGTGTAATCTGAACTTAAATACGAAACCATGCTCGGTGTAACTATTATCATCCGGATAATTTGAGCGGGGTTAAAAATATTTTTTTTTTAATTCCGAAAAGAATTCATTTATATATAGAGAGAGAACATATATATGGACTAATTATGGAGCATACATTTTAATACACATGATAAGAAGCGAAACGTTGCCATTTTACAACATACAGCATGTACATGCACGGTGACTTTGGGGCCTCCATAATCAAAGTTATGCTATATCACTGTCTCAATTTTTTTCCTCTCTCTCTCTCTCTTCTCTCTGCAATATATACACTTAACAATTTAAAACTTAGGTTTCCAACTTTTCAAAATGGCGTCAGAATAGAAGTTGCCACCGATAGTGAAGATTTGTTGTTGCCAAATATTACAACTATTTACCGTAAAAAGTTGACAAAAATATACGTATGTAACAGGCTTGGGGGTTGTCGAATGAAGACTAACGACCTGTTCAGGGTTCTTGGACAAGACTTTATTTACCAGATATGATTTAAACCCATTCTATGGGAATAGGTGTGTATACATAACAGCAAGCAGCAATGCTGCAGATGTACAAATCATAGTCTGAGTGGTCAGAAGGAGAAGAAAGTCAGTCTCTATGATAAGGTCTGATTGTCAAAATGTCAGCACACTATAAATACATCATCACTGACCAAACTCTGGACAAAGAATGTCCAGAAAACCAAAAACCTTCTGGAGGGAAAAATACTAACCAATCCCCAAGTAAAACACAAAGTAAAACACCAATGAAATTAAAAGAAACATCCAACATTAGGCCTGGATATAATTAATGACCTAAGGCCATTTCTACCTATATACACCTTTGACAGACATGGGTGAATGCACACTAAAGGCTTTAAACTGAATAAGTATATTATTCAACATGTGCATTTCAAATCAAATTAAATATAACTCGAAACGATCTCGTTGCGAGCAACGAGAGGTCTTCCGTCCGCTTTAGGAAAAGAAACCCAGGAAAAATCGAGCTGAAAAGAGATTCAAAATTTGGTCACAAGGAGGATTAAACCCATGTCGCCAAAGTGAATGCGCTTTTTTAAAAAATACTTTTTTATCCCCAACGCGCTTACCATTAAGCTATTGTGAGTACTGCTCTAAATATACTTGTGTATACTTTTGCAACAGTTCACCTTCTAAGAATTATAAAAACGCATTTATAATTTCATGCCAAGCGCCACGAGTAAATATTCGCGCCTTTTCTTTGGACTGATCTATTAAATAGGTATCACAGCTTCAATTAAATTTCAAAAATAAAACATTCTTAGCGCCTTTATTTTATTTCGACGTTAAGAAAGTATATGTAACACATTATACACATTACATATCATATCTAGCCCAGTTACACTAAAGCAGTGAAACGGAAATTAAGTTTTAAGATTGACACTCAATTGCAACGTTCTACTGTAACGTGTCGGACCTGAGCGGTCAGTAGGTCCGTGCTCGGATTACCGAGTTTTACTGGGGATACGATTGAATGCAATATATACGGATAATAATATGACACCTGCCTGGTGTCTTTAAAGCCATAT